AATCCTAAACCCTAAGCTTCAACTCCCAAACCCCAAATCCTAAACCCTAAATTTCAACTCCTAAACCCCAAATCCCAAACCCTAAACCAGCAACCCTAAACTTCAAATCCTAAATCCCAAATCCTAGACCCCAAACCCCGAAATCCGAATCCCCAAACCCGTACTCTGTCCTGGAGATCCTGAGCCCCAAGTGCTGGGCTGCAGGTTTAGGGTTCAGAGAGTCGGGTTCAAGGTGCTTTGTGGGTTTGGGTTTGGGGGGTTAGGGGTTCGTGGTTTAAGCATTTGGGGCTGGCTGCTCTTCCCACAAACGACGCCTTGAGCCCGAAACCCTGAACCGCACCGCGCCTGCTCCTTTTGCTTGCTTTTGTCCTTCTTCTCCTTCTTCCTGCGGATGCGGCTGCATTGCGGTTGGCTTTAGCATGTTCAATTACTGCTTCTCTGGCTTGGTGGTACCAGGTGTAACTCCCTAAACCTTTAACAGCCCGAAGAACCATCCCTAAATATTCCGCAATCTGGAATGAACGCAACATGAAACCCTTTGTCGGATGTGGGGCTCACAATCGAAGCTTTCGAATGAAATGGCTCAGGGTTTGGGACGTCGAATCCCAAAGACTCAACGCTAAGCCCTAAACCCTAAACCCTAAACCCTAAACCCTATTCCCTAAACCCTAAACACTCCAATAGTTAATCGGGGAGTAAGGATCAGAGCAGGGTTCTGGGATTGGGGTTTAAGGTTTAGGGTTTAGGGTTTAGGGTTTAGGGTTTAGGGTTGAGGGTTTAGGGTTTAGGTATAGTACATCTACGGCAAATATGGTGGGAACCCGAAGGAACAGTCTTGGTAAGGATTTTGGCTTCTATCCCTCAATCATCAGGGCCGATGAGGGGCCGTGGAAAACCCTAAACCCTAAACCCTGAACCCTAAAACCTAAACCCTAGACCCTAAACCCTAAACCCTAAACCCTAAAACCTAAGCCCAAAACCCTAAACCCTCAAAAAAAAAAGCATCGAGAGCCTCTTCTTCGCCGGCGCCTCGCCCTGACTGGCCTGGAGGACCGCTGGGGGTGTCATGGCAAGCCCTGAACCTAAGACTCCGAGTATACAAACAGTACCTATTAGGGTTTAGGGTTTAGGGTTGAGTATACAAATACGGTTGATGATATACATCCTGCATTACCCACAATAAGGAATATACCAGAGTTAGCATGGTTTAGCGTCCTTCAGGTAATGCAGGATTTATATCATCAACAGTAGTACCTACCTTTGGGGTCTAAAGCCTATAAATGGCACCCACTTTGGGCTATTTGGAGTCTGAGGGTGATCCACGAAAAGGCCGAAGCTGGAGACCCACCAGAGGTGAACATGTTCCGGGCTTCGTGGCTTCAGGCTTTTCAAGGTTTAGAGTTTAGGGTGTATGGCTGAGGGTACAAACTCCCACAAAGCCCATCGAATTCAGAATCCTAAACCCTAAACCCTAAACCCTAAACCCCAAACCCTAAACCCTAAACCCCACACGGCAGAGCTCAGGTTGAGGATGGAAGTTCTTGGGGGGATTTCGGTGCACAGCTCATGTTCGACACGTACTTCCGATGTCCGTATGCAACACAGTGAGTCCCTAAGCCTTTAACCCTAGATCTTACTGAACCCTAAACCCTAAACCCTAAACCCGAAACCTTAATCCCTAAATTTTACTGAACCCTAAACCCTAAACCCTAAACCCGAAACCTTAATCCCTAAATTTTACTGAACCCTAAGCTGACTGCCCCACCCGAGCCTCCGCCGGAGGCTCCGCGGGAGCCCGCACCTACACAGCTCAGCTGCTGGCGTAGGCTCCCAGAGACTCCAATATCCCTTAATTAAAGAATAGTCCTTAACTTAGGAATATGTCCCTTAAATAAGGAATATATTCCTTAAATAAGGAATCTATCCCTTAATTAAGGAATATTCCTTAAATTATAGTAGGATCCCTAATATGATTTAAGGTATATTCCTTAATTAAGGGATATTGGAGTCTCTAGGTTTCTGAAGGTCCAAGTCCCGAACATCTTGAAGCCAACCCTAAAGTTTAGGGTTTAGGGTCTAAGGTTTAGGGATTAGGGTCTAAGGTTTAGGGTTTAGGGTTTAGGGCTTAGGGTTTAGGGCTTAGGGTTTACACCCTAAACCCTATACCCCTAAACCCTAATAGGGTGCACACCAAACTACATGGTTCCTGTTGTAGAAACCTGAACTCCTAGCCCTTACACCCTGAACGCTTACATCCTTAAATCCTCAGCAGTAAACCCTCAACTGAAAGCCCCAAACCCAAGCCTCAGAGCAGGCACTATAGAAAACGAAATCATTAGTAATGCTATTCCTTCTGGGCTCCCCGTCATAACCATATCGCAGCATACCCCAAAACCCTCTTCTAATAAGTGAGGCCCGGTGGAGGATTGGTTTTTTGAAGGTTTGGCCACACCTTGTTTTTTGAAAGGTTTGGCCGAGGGGTCGTTTGAACTTGATTTGCAGCAAACTAATCGGAAAATCGCATTTGAAGGTTCTCCTGTTGAAGCAAGCCATTTGGAAAACTTCCACCTATGGGTGGATGCTACTGGAGAAGTATCATCTGTGGTGCCTTCTTTAAAAGAAAGCATTGGCGAAGTCTCACTTGTAGGTTCTTCTGCTGCAGGAAGCTATTGACAATTGAAGACATCCCATTCGTAGGTTTTGCTTACACAGCAAGCTATTGGGGAAGTTCCACTTGTAGTGTTGTCTTTCGCAGCACGCTGTCGGGGAACTTCCACTTCCTTCTTGTGTTGCAAGCTATTGAGCAGGTCCCATTGATGGAATCTTCTTTTGCAGCAAGCTATTGGAGAACGTTTATTTATGGGGTTTTCCTGTGCTGCGTGCTGCTGGGGAAGTCCCATTTGTCTGCAGCAAGCTATTGGCGAAGCTCCATCAATGCGGTCTTCTTTTGCAGCAAACTATTGGTGAAATGCCGTGCAATAGAGGTTCCACTATGAGGTCTTCTGTTGCAGCAAGCTATCGGAGAATTGCGTTTTGCACAAACTATTGGGGAACTGCACATTTTGCAGGGCTCTTCTACGCCATGCTCGTCGTGCATTTCCATTTGCATACATCGGTGGCATAACGGGACACCAGAGCCATGTAGTCCCCACAAGTCCCCATGCTTGCTCAATGCTGTGTAAAGATGCTCGCAGCATCCTTGGGCACAGAACGGCTTGCATTGGCAGATGCCTCGACGGTTTTCAGCAGTGCTGACACGTGAAGATCGCCACCAGGGATCGGGTGTCCACACAGGCAACTACGTAACCCGACACCAGTCGCAAGACATTTCGTGATCTCGCGATAATGGTCGCGGGGCTCCCAAACGCCGCAATGCATCCTTGTCTGCAAAATGCAAGTCCGCCAACGCCAAGCACTTTGCCTGGTTGAGATTTATCGTGTCCGGCTCACGCAGCCACTGATCTCCGTCTTCGTAACGTCGAAGGCCGCGTCGCACGTGGACAAGGGGACCAAAGACGAAGGGGACTATCAAAAGGACCAAGCTTGGCCAAACCCATTTTAAAAAAAAGACCCGACTAAGGCCCCGACAACAAAATGGAGTTACGGTTCCGGGGGCTACTTATGGGTGCCGTCAATGGTTCAAGCTTGAGGCTGCCCCACCCCCTTCCAACCCCTCCCCCCCATCCCCACAAACAAAACCCCTAAACCCTAAACCCTAAACCCTGAACCCCTAAACCCTGAACCCCTAAACCCCTAAACCCCTACACCCCCAAACCCTAAACCCAAAACACCCCCAAACCCTGAACCCCTAAACCCTGAACCCCAAAACCCTGAACCCCTAAACCCTGCAAGTGCATACGTCACTTGGTGATTCCCACGCGACACAGTCGGTGTACACACGAAGCTATCGGATCGAGAGCCTGGGGTTTGAAGGCACAAAACAGTGCACCGCTTCGCCGTGCCCATAGTCGCCATAGTCAGCCCTGCTATCTCTCCGAACTGCTCGACATCAGAGGCTATATCAGTATTGCTGCCAGCGCTTGCATGGTAGCGGAGCCCAGCTCAGTAAACGAGCTGGGTTCCAGATCCGGGGACCTAACTGAGAAGAAGCTTTCACCTGCGGGGCGCCGGTGAGAGACGACAGGCGATGACAGCAACGGCCTCAGTGACGAGGAGCAAGGAGGGTGTCCCCGTGTGGGACGGGACACCGTCGAGTTTTGAAGAGTACTCTGAGCTGTGTCAGATCTTTGAGCAGAGCACACCATTTCACAAGCGCTATCTGGCTGGACCGAGACTCCTGGGTGAATTGCAAGGTGCTGCCCGGCGCCATGTAACCGGGAAGCCGGCCACTTGGCTTTCGACTGACAATGGTGTGTCAGTGCTTTTGAGGCACCTCCGTGCATGCCTGGGAAAGCCACAAATCACGGAACTGACAGAACACCTGAACAGGTATTTCCGTCAGGGCCGCCGCAAGCCGCAAGAATCGATGAACGAGTACATTGCTCGTAAGTGCGAAGTTTATTTGCGGTCATGTCAGGCCATGCAGAGAGTGGCTCCATACCATCGGGAGCCCATCAAGGAGGAGCCGAGGGACACAGCCTGGAAGGGCCAGTGGGGCGGCTATGGGAGTCGCCCAGGTGGAAGTCGCCGGGAAAGCTGGGATTCCACAGCGACGCGGAGCGAGGCAGAAGAGGAGACAGCGGCGCCCGTACAGGCCGCCGCGCCAACCCTCGAGAACACCGAGGACCACCAAGGTGACCGAGCCAGCGAGGCCAACCGGGACGATTGGTGGCGCAACAACGCGTGGACGTGGACCACACAACCATGGTGGCAGAGTGGCTACAGCTACTGGAGTGACTGGGGCTATGCGAGCTCTCGCAACTGGGGAAACTGGAGTACCAGTGGCGGCTCCCAGAGTGGCGAGAGCATGAGTGAGGGCACTTTGCCCCACCTCCTGCCCGAGTTTGTACAAGGATGGTACTTGTTACAGGATGCTGGATTGAGCAACAGTGAAAAGAATATGATCATGACAGCCATTCAGAATGACTTCTCAGTGCAGCATGTGGCACAGGAGTTGAGGACCCAGTATGGCGACATTGAGCACCGACGCGCGGAAACCGGAAGCCGGCACTCCAGCTACTGGGGTGAAGGACCCGAGGAGGACGAAGACGAGCAGCCACATGATGAGGAGGGCTTCGCGGTGGAAGAGTTGGACGAGGAAGGAAGGATTATGTGGGCTGAGGCCGAAGCCGAGGTTCATCAAGCCTGGGCGGCCGTCCAGGTCGCGCGAAGGACCTTGAAAGAGGCCAGAGCCAAGCAGTCGGCAGTGAAGCTGTCGAGGAAGTACTTCCGGCCCAACAGTGGAACAGGCTACAAGCCCAGGGACGACAGCCAGATGGAGTGTTTGGCGTGTGGCAAGAAGGGGCACAGGGCAGCCAACTGCCCCAACAACACGGCATCCAGAGGATCTACGAGCAGCGGCCCCAAACAATCTGCGCCATTCGTGTGCTTCACAGATCAGGCTTTGAGCGCCCAAGAGCGAGGAGAGCCAGAGTGGAGCACCAAGGAAGCCGTGAAGAACGGTTTCGCCGTTATTGACGGCGGGGCCACCAGAACCTTGGGCAGCGTGGAGGCGATCCAACGAGTTATGGACCTCAATCAGGAGAAGTATGGCAGCTCCCGCATTCAGTCCGTGAATGTCACGGACCGGCCCACGTTTGGCTTTGGGAATTCCACGGAGGATCAATGCGCCAGCACCGTGGAATTGGGAATATCCGCGGGGGAGTGTGACGGGCGCCTCACTATTCACGCCCTCAACCGCGGTGAGACCCCAATTCTGCTATCTGTTGCAACCTTGAGGACCCTCAAGGCCGTTATAGATTTCGAGCAAGACCTCATTTGCTTCAGGGCGCTCAACACCTCGCGCCTGCTGCAGCTTCGACGGTCTACCACGGGCCACCAGTTGATACCTTTGACGAGGGATTTGTATGATGAGGCGCTCTCGACGTCCACACCGGTCCCTAGCCTCCGAGATTTTGTACAGAATAGCGTGGAGTAGGGACAGCTCACTTCTGACTGTAGGCCTGGCAGGAAAGAAGTGCCGAGTGATTTTTCAGGCAAGGGGGGCGTTGCCGAGCAATGCCAACTCGCACACAACAGCAGCAGTTCTGATCTAAGTAAGAATGATGAGGGGTATGGTGATGTTAGGGTGATGCGAGATGACAAGGGAACCGAACCATCAATCAGCCGCGAGATCTCAAAGAACGAGGGGGAGACAAAACCTTTCAGTTTTTCCACAACCGCTCCGTCGACGAGACAGCATGGTGTTGAGCAAGCTTCGCAAGGAACAATTGCAGGAGAAGCTAGCGGAACTGGGGGAAACAGCACCCAGCCGGTGGACCAAGAAGGAGATCATCCAGCGGATCCTCGAGATCGACCCGGAGGCGGACAAGGCGCCTTCCAAGCAGAGGACAGACCTCCAGACCCGCATCAAGGATCTGGGCGTCGCGAGTCGCAAGAAGTCAACACTGGTAGAGTACTGCCAAACCATCGGCATCGGAGTCGAGCCCAACGACACCATCTACCGTCTGGAGCAGCGGGCACTACGACGCCTCTACGATGTGTCGGAACCTGCGGCGGAGGATGTTGTGGGTTTCGGACGCCACAGCACAGAGACCTACCAGGAGATCCTCGTGCAGCGACCCACGTATGCCATGTGGGTGAAGCAGACAGCGGCCGAGACCACGGAGACAGACTACCGTCTACGTCGCCTAGCCAATTGGCTGGAGCAACAGACAACCGAGGAGGCCGAGATGGTTCGTGCTCCCAAGGAGAAGATCAAGGCGAAGGCCAAGGCGGTGACGCCACCACCATCCACAGCTCAATCGTCGTCGGACACCACGGCGGTGATGATTCAGAGCCTCCTGGAGACAGTGCAGGGCCTACAGCAAGAGGTCCAGGAGATGAGGGCCGAGAGGCCCCGCAAGGAAGTGCGAGCGCCACCGTCCGAGACGGACGAAAGCAAGAACTCGTACCAGATGGTGGAGCCACGGCCCAAGAGCAAGTAGATCTGAGGGTTGGTTGCCCAGCAGGGGTAGATATGAACTCGCCTGGCTTGAGCGAGGGAGCCGAAACTGAGGAGCCAAGCAAAGTGCTTAGACCTGAAACTGCGTCGTTTGTTGAGCATCAGGCGTGGAGCTTAGTGCCAAGGGTGTTTCAAGAGGTAGTTTCGCAGTCTCGGCCATTTCTTCTTGAAGTGACCAGCGCCACAGGAAGCACAATGACACAAGCAGTGCAGGCTGTGACAGGCCGGAGTGGCGCAGCCATCCGCTGTGCCACATCCGATGGTCACGATCTGAGCACCAACGAGGGGATTCGAGGCATCATCGAAAAACTGGACACGCTGCGGCCTCTGCATGTGTGGCTGCACCCATCAAGTGAAGCGTTTTGTAATTGGCAGAATGCGAATCAGAAGAGGGCGGAACAGCTTGAAGCTTTGAGCCAGAAGCGTAAACAGGTGATGAAATTCCTTGTGGGCTGCGGTGTGGTTATAGGAGCTTGCATCCAGAGAGGTGTCCATGTTTCATTGCAGATGCCGGATCAGAACAACGCTTGGAGGTTGCCCGTTCTTCAAAACATACAGAAGCAACATAACCTCAAAACTTGTGTGACCAAGGGATGTCGCATGAACCTCAGAGGGAGCGATCAGAGACTGTCCAGGCGCGGCTGGAAGGTCAGCACGACCCACGACCGCCTTTCGGAGTTGCTTCAAGCGCCATGCGTGTGTCCGAAGGAGTATAAGCATGCTCCGTCGGAAGCTGTGCAGCAGAACGAACAGGAACCATATACCAAGGAGTTCACAAAACAAGCCGCCAAGGCCATCTTGCAGGAACATAGCTATGTGAGTGTGCTCCAGGAACTTAACGGTAGGACCGAGCTGCCTGAGGTGTTTGGCCAGGGGGTGGTGTGTTCATGTGAGAAGCAAAGGGGAACGGCTGAAACAGTTCCCTGTGGTGCCTGTTTGGTTTCGCCTTCGGAAGGGTCACTTGGAAGTGAGGGGTTTGAGGATGAAGAGTTTCTTGAAAGTTCAGGTACAGGGTTGAGCCTGGAGACCAAGGGACCCAAACAGCCTGAAGATTCCGCAAACCCAGGTTTACAACAGGCCCCAGAACAGGAACAAGAAGCCCACTTCTGCACGGAAGATGTGCAACTCGCAGAGCACAAAGCTCAGGAGCTTCTGAGGTTGAACCAGTTGGACCATGCACACTGTGAAGAGCTGATACGGACCCTGCCTAGGATGAACCACACTAGTAGACCTCAAGCCCAAGCCCCCAAAGAGGAACAGAAGTTGCGAGGGTACTACACCTTTGGCTTGTACTCGTACGGCAAGTTCTGCGGCATCACTAGATTGACCAGGCTGCTTCCACAGTGCAACAAGTTTTTCCAGAAGTATCTGCAACAACACTTGCCTAGGGACCAGAGGTACACGTCGTATGTGGTGAACCGCAACATGTACATGGGTTTGCACAAAGACAACAACAACGACGAACAGTACCCCAACTGCATCATAGGAGTCAGCCACTACACTGGAGGACAACTATGGGTAGAAGGGAAGGTAACAGAACCAATCAGAAAGCCCGTCACCAAGGTACTGCCCGATGGCAGCCAAAGGGAAGGCAACAACTACGATGTCAAGCACAAGGTGGTACAGTTTCCACCGAAGGCCTGGCACGGGACGGAAGTGTGGCAAGGGGATCGGTTGGTGTTGTCCACGTTCGTGAGTCGGAGCCACAGTATTGTGTCTAGGGAGTGTCGTAAAGAGCTTCAGCTCTTTGGCTTTCGTCTGCCAGTGCACCGCAAACAGCATGAGCAAGTGATGACTGTTGATGATCAACCACTGAGCAAACAGGAGAGAGAGAGAGTGAAGAAGCAGCTGTATTTGTTGCACGCGGCCTCGGGACATGGAAGCAGCAGACATCTTGTTGAGGCGTTACGCCGAAGGGGGGTGCATCCGGAGGTGTTGGAATTGGCGAAGGAGTTTAAGTGCTCCATTTGCGAAGAACGTAGAAGGGTTCAACCCAAACACCTGTCCTCTCTTGAACCACTTCCCCCAAAGTGGCACTGCGTCAGTGCCGACATTGGGCATTTCTACAATGCCCACAGGAAGGAACACGTTCAGTTCATGGTGGTGATTGATGAGGGTTCTAGGTTCAGGGCTGCAAGGGTGTTGACATCAGGCTCAAAACAACAGCCCACGGCAGCTCAGTGCTTAGAGTTCCTTCGTGATGGATGGATATCATATTTTGGAACACCCCGCACCCTACGATTGGACCCTGCGGGCGCTTTTCGGGGAGCCACCATTGAGGAGTTTTGTGACAGACATCAGATTTATCTTGACATCATACCGGGTGAAGCCCACTGGAAGATAAGTGTAGTTGAGCAAGCCATTCAGGGGATTAAGGAGCTGATGCAGAAGCTTCTCTTGGAAGAGTCGGACCTGGAGACGCGCGAGGCCTTGGCAGTGGCAGTGCAGACTTTCAATAGAAGAGAGATAATCCGGGGATTTACACCAGCACAACACGCAATGGGACAGAGCCCCGAAGCATCGGGGAGATTTGATTTTTCTGGAAAAGCCCCTCCACCAGAACTGCTGGTGGAGAATCCCAGTGGAGAATTCACTAGATGTGTGGAACGACAGAAGACTGCAGAGAAGGCCCTGGTGGACTGGCAAGCCAGCCAGCGGTTGTTGCGAGCGGCCCACTCGCGGGGCCGCCGAGTCATGAATTATCAACCTGGGGAGTTAGTGTATTTTTGGCGTTCGCAGGTCAGTGGCAAGGGCAGGAGAGAGCCAGGAGATAAACATGGACAGTTCTTGGGCCCTGCTAGGATTTTGGCAACGGAAACCAAGCGCGATGAGGAAGGAAATCTTTTACCCACCTCAGCCATCTGGCTGGTGCGAGGCCGGAGCTTGATTAAGTGCGCGGCCGAACAGATCCGCCGCGCTTCCGAACGAGAAGAACTTTTGGAATCACTGGAACAGATCAATCCGGTTCCCTGGACTTACACCAGAGTCGCTGAAGAGATTGGAGGCAATCGATATCAAGACATAACAGAAGCTGTGCCTGAGCCGGAGTGGCTGCGAGCACAGGACACGGAGCAGCAGGAGCCTCCAACCCGCCGGCGTGTGCCAATCAAGCGCCCAGCGACCGCCATGGAGTATGGGACCAGCTATCGACGAGATGCTACCGAGAACCCGGATACGGAGACCGGGCCCACGCTACGAAGGGCTGGGGACGCAGGCCCTAGCCATGGAGGACACCGGAGCTCACCATACTCCCGACCTACCGCGGAACAAGGACAACACTGGTGGAGTACGGTGCAAGAGACGGCATGGCACGCGGATGTGAGCTACTGGAACGACGAGCTCGCCGCAGTGGCAGTGGAGATTCCGTTGCCCGAGCAACCACGGAAGTTGGAACAGGCATGCCGCGATCTTCCGACTTATTTCATCGGCAGCATGAAACGACGCGCTGTCGAAGTCAGTGAGAAACGTTTGACGCCGGAGGAACGCGAATTGTTCAGAAGCGCGAAGATGATTGAAGTCAAGAACTTTGTGGCGGCACAGGCTTTTGAAACTTTACCAGAGAGCCAGCGGCCATCAAAATCACAAGCAGTGAGCATGCGGTGGATCTTGACTTGGAAGCAGAAAGAAGACGGCTCGGTGAAGCCGAAGGCGCGTGCAGTATTATTGGGGTATCAAGACCCGTCGTATGAACATCGAGCTACAACAGCCCCTGTCATGACGAGGCAGACGCGTCAGATGGTATTGCAGATAGCGGCGATGCGCAACTGGCGCGTCGCCAAAGGAGATGTGTCTGGAGCATTTTTGCAAGGCAGGGAGTATCCGGACAAGTTGTACTGTATTCCTTGTCCAGAGATCTGTGAAGCACTACGAATCCCTGCCGAGTCAGTGACTCGGTTAAAGCGAGCTTGTTACGGATTGGTAGACGCCCCGCTGGAGTGGTACAAGACGGTAGCTGAGTTTTTAGAGGGGCTCAACTTGGAACGGACGTGGTCAGACGCTTGCTGCTGGGTCTTAAGAGATCACGGCGTGGTTGTGGGACTCATCTCCGGTCACGTAGACGACTTCTTATTTACAGGCGATGAACAAAATGCTATGTGGCAGGGCGTCGTGCAGGCCATAAAACAGAGGTTTAAATGGGGTGACTGGGACTTTGATGACTTTGTTCAGTGCGGGGTCTGTGTCAAGAAGACTTCAGAGGGATTCGAATTCTCCCAGGAGCGATATGTGGACGCAATCAAGGAAATCCCCATTAATGCTTCCCGCAAGAAGCAAGGCGAGAGCTCTACAACTGACAAGGAGAAGAGTCAGCTTCGGGCACTCTTGGGTGCCATCGCGTGGCACGCACAGCAGGTGGCCCCGCACTTGAGTGCGGAGGTCAGCTTGTTACTTTCTGAGGTGACCAGCAGCAACGTTGAGACGATTGCTAAGGCCAATGCTTGTCTGCGACGAGCTAAGGCACAGTGGCAACATGTCATGAAGATACATGCGTTCCGGCCTGAGGAAGAACTAGGGGTTTTTGGCTGGGTGGACGCTGGGAGCCAGAACAGGGTGGACGGTTACAGCACTCAGGGAATCTTCGTGGGCCTGGCACCTACCGCTCTCCTGAGGGGAGAGCTTTGCCAGGTCACGCCAGTGGCCTGGCACTCCAACCGGATTGACCGGGCTTGCAGATCACCTGGAGCCGCTGAGGCTCATGCGGCCATCAACGGCGAGGACGCTGTTTACTTCGCCCGTTACCAGTGGCATGAATTGCTACATGGAGCTAAGGACTTGCGAGCACCGGGCTTAGATGTCAAGAAAATCACAGGGTGTCTCATCACAGACAGCCGGAATGTGTACGACAAGTTGGACACAGCTACATTATGCATAAAGGGTGCAGAGAAGCGGACCAACATTGAGATGATTGCCTTGAAGGAAAGCCAGTTGCAAACTGGACTCATCTTACGATGGGTCCATTCGGAAGCCCAGTTGGCGAACACGCTG